ATATAGAAATTGTAAAGAAGAATCAAGTGGAAATCCTGGAATTGAAATGTACAAATACTGAAACAAAAAATTTACTACATTTTTTCCTAGCTGGCCATTGTGCAGAAATTGATAAGCTGATCCTAAAATTGATAGGGACATTCACAGGACCCAAAATGTCCAAACAACCTGCATGTTGTGAGTTGCCCTCTGGAGGACTCATGTGGCAAGGAACTGAGGCACCAACTGAGAGAAACTCAGGTCCACAGGCCAACAATCCACAAGGAACTGAATCTTGTCAACAGCCTTGTGTGTGAGCTTCTGAGCTGGTCCACCCTCTACTTGAGCCTCGACTGCTGCCCTGGCTGACACCTTGGTTGACGTCCTCTGAGAGACCCTGACATGTAGGATCTAGTTATGCCACATTCAACTTCCTGACCTACATGAAGTGTTAGATATTAATGTGTCTTGTTTTAAGTTGTTAAGTTTTGGGCTAACTTTTTATGAAGCAATAGATAACAAGTACACTCAATTCCTGAAGTATTTTATGTAGATATTTGTACCACACGGGTGTGTATTCTGCAGGCTCCCTCAGGAACTCATGCAGTTGCTGGAAATCTTTTAAATTTTCCTATGCCTGGATGCTTTGCTTCTTCATGTTTTCTCTACATCCATCTCATGTGAGTGTCCACTCTGCTGAGTGCACAGACTGCCTTACCCATCGTTAAGCCTCCAAAATACACTATTTGCTTCATAGTAAACTTTCATTAAATCAATATTTGGTCAAAATTTTGATTAAATAGTATCACCTCTACATTTCCTAACCTTGAAATACCCTGTTAGTTGTACTGATCAGGGTTTCTTGACATCTGGTATTTGTCGCACAGTACAAGGCTATATACTGCATAAATTAGTAAAGAAACAGGCATAGCAGCTATTGAAAGGTAGCCCCCTCTCTGTTCTATGTTAATGTGCCATTAATTACACTCTCATACTCCTTTTATTTTTAACTGAAATCTCTACATAGCTGATTTAGTGTGCAGGCCATTATGATACTTGAAGATTGTCCACAGTCACTCTTTGATGAGTTTGGGTTTTATGAGAGCATTTTAAATGTCAGAATTTTTCATATCATGAATATTGTGTGTTATTAAGAAAAAACATTATATAAAGTTCTTAAATATGTGTAGCATTTTAAAAGCAGACTTTAAAAACCTATGCCTTGATTTCAAGAATACTTCACTTATTTACTCATGAATAAGATTCCCAACTGTTTGACAAAATGTCAAAAAAAAGCACACCATTTTTGAAAAGTTAGCATTGAAGACAAAAAGTACTCTTTTTCCCTTCAGGATTTTTGGTCTGTTACTATTAGTGAACTGAAAAGGCCCCACTCATTTGGAGATTTTAATGCATCTATATGCAAAACTTAAAGCAACAAAACACATTTCGTACTCCCCCCCCCCAAATCTACTGTGGAATAAAAATAAATAATTCAGGTTTATCCTATAGGCATTCTCTCTGTGTTTGAAAAGGAGATGTCGGTTAGGTCAGGAACAATTTTTAGTAACTTTTTCATCAGACATTTTAATATTAGCTGATGATCCTTGTTCTCTTTAGCCTTAGTTTGTTTGTTGTCATCTTTGAAGTCTTGCTTCTATTTAGTGACAGCAAAAAACATTATTTAGCAAGAGAAAGAATTAAAAAATATTTCCCCCCACCCCATCACCATACAAGCGTAGCATCTTATAATGACCATATCTTGGCTGCCTGTGCAAATCGTTAGAATCACCTTCTATACAAATATACATGTACATGCACACACTCACATGGCATGTGTTCATGGATTAAAGATGTAAATATATATATATACACACACACATGCAACATACACATGTGTGCATGGATTAAACATATTGCATACATAAGTATGCATGGGTTAAGAAATGACCATACTTCATAGTAATAATGGTTTTTCTAACATAATGAAGTAAAGAAACACAGACAGTAAAAAAACACTCTTGCATATGTTTTTCTCATGATTTTTAGACATATTAGAACAGAAAATAAACTCTATCCCAAGAGAATTCAGAGAAATTCTACCAAAAAACACATTTTGATTGATTGCCTAATTTTTTAAGATATCAATATACAGCTATGTTATTTGAATCACTTTTGCAAATCTTGTGAGAACTGTGCTTTCCACTGATAATCCCTCTGCCAGCCAAGGTCATCCCAAGGAACAGGGAGGAATGTCAGCATGGAATAAGAAAGAGATTTAAACACTTTCGATTTTTTTCAGTATAAACTGGTCATTTAGTTTGAAAATCTCTTTCCATAATTGCTTCAGTTCCAGCTAGATGAGTATTTCAAGACATTCATTCCAAATTTGTGGACTGACGTTGTCAATGATCACGGAATTTTAGAACTGGAATTGATCAGTGGATTATCTGGTCCAGTGCTTTCGGTTGGCAGATGAGCTGATGTAAATTAATTACCTAAAAACTCTGTAGTTTCGAGAATGAAAAAGGGAATCATTACCATTTCAAGGGAGGAAACCGAGGCATGAAGACATTAAATGAGTTGCCAGCTGTGTTAGAACTTGTTACTAGCACTCAGGGCTAAAATGTAGCCTTTCCACTATCCTATTCCCATCTTGATATCATTGAGGGTTTTGAAGTGTCATCTGGATATGAAAAGATACTAATTTAATAAGAAAGAAATACATTTCCTGGCTCTCTGCACAACACACATAGTGTCATCCTATGCTTACAGTTAAAGATGGGGTTCTGCGTGTCACTGCTTGGAGTCCTGAGAAGTTTTATTGAGCTTAATACCAGAAGGAAAAGGACAATGTCATTTCAGTAGGTGTGTTTAACGGACTTCACTTTAGTTGTAATATTTTGATTATGCAACATATAATAAGATTTTGTTTTTCTTTTACAAAATACATTTATAGGTTTCAGTCCAGCTTCTAGCTACACTGACTAAACAAATGTAATTGTTCTGAATGGACCCCAAATAGCTTTCAACATTTCATTACAAAGCAATTACATCTGAGTCTTTCCCAGTGCTTTCAGCATGGCTTTTAAAAAAGAAATTACACAAACAGGTGAAATCAACCATTATGAAATACAATCTACATGCCTAAAAAGCAAGGCTTCAGAGTGACAATGAAATGGCGGAGGTTTAAGCCAAATGATAAACACAGTTTATTTTCAAGGTAACCGCACTAAGAAAATTCAGCATGCATGCTCAAGGGAAGTTTATTTTTTGTAAAGGGAATATTTACTTAATTTTCCAATGTTACGAAGCAGTACAAAATTTGTTAGACATTCCCTAAAAGTAAGTGGAGATCAATCTCTTGTGAGTCCATATATTGAAAAATATTTGGCTTTGTAAAAGCAGGACTGAACTGCATACTTGTCTGGATTTACAAAGATCGTAATTCATTAACACCTACTGAATGTTTATCGCATGCCGGGCACTGCTCTAAGCACTTTATTATATGTATCCTCAAACAGTCCTCACAGGTAGTTGCCACGGTTGTTCTCGTTTTTACAGATGAGGAAACTAAGGCTAAGAAATTTTTGTCCAAGATCAAGCAGCCATTGATGGAAGGTCAGGATTCAAACACAGGCATTCTGGTGCTTGAGTCCATGATCTGAACTGCTCTGTATGCTACCCACACTTACTAGTAAGGATCCTGTTTATGTGCAGATCTGACCCAGGTCTGGGGATGTAGAGGTGGAAAGAGGGGTGAGCCATTAACACAATACCGAGGCACAACATTGTAAAATACGATGCTCATCTGGCCTTGGGTCTATGCCTCCTAATTTGACTTTTAAAAAATGAAACATGTCAGTAATCACACAGTGCAAATGAACTGCTTATTTTAAATGAAAACTTTAAGAAAGAGGTTTTAACTGGGGCTCAGGGTCTTTGGGGGATTCACAGACTCCTTGTGACAATCTGCCCCACCGTGTGAAGATGTGAGACTGTGCCTCTGAGTATTTTTCTGGGGAAAAGATTTCTTTCACTCGATTGTTAAAGGGATACTTGACTTCCTTGCTGTCTAGCACAGGGGTGGGCAAGCTTTTTCAGTAAAGTCCAGATACTAAATATTTTAGGCTTTGTGGGACATAGAATCTCTTTCGAAACTACCCAACTCTGCTGTTATAGTGAAAAAGCAGCTGCAGACAATACATAAAGAGAAGAGTGTGGTAGTGTTCCCAGAGCACTTTATTTCTGGACATTGAAATTTGAATCTGATATAATTTTTATGTCACAAAATATGTCTTTGATTGTTTTTCAGTCATTTAAAAGTGTAACTAAAAAACCCCAAACAAAATGAGCTTAGCTTGAGAACAATAAGAAGCAAGCAGTAGGCCAGATGTGGCCCACGGGCCACAGTTTGGGAAATCTTAGTCCGGAGCAGTGGTTCTCAAGAGTGTAGTCCCAGGAGCACGGGCATCATCTGAGAATTTGTTGGAAATGCAGATTCTCAGGCCTCTCGGACAATCTACTACATCTGAAATTCCAGAAGTGGGCCTGGCAGCTATGTTTTAAAAAAGTTTTCTAGGTGAAAAAAATGCTGCTCAAGTTTGACAACCATTGGTCCAGGATCACTGCTGTAATGATTCAGTTCATCCATCCTTTCATTCACCCTGGCAACAAATGCTTTTCGAGAGGGCAGTCATCGTGCACCAGGAATACAAGGGATAAAGTACTCTTCTCCCTCCTCACAGAGGCAAGAATAATCCTTCCGTTGTAAAGCAGGAGATAGTAACTTTCTGACCATGACCTATTTTTTGAAATACACATCATGACCCAATACGTATAGACACACATGCCTGAAACAAAATAATACAAAGCAATATGTACCCTTAATACTTGTGATGCACTCTGGTAGCTTCTGCTGCATTCCATTTCTATTGGATTAAATCCAATAAATTGATTTTATAATCCACTAATACATCACAACTCATAGTTCAAAAAATCCTGCAATGAAATGTGCTCACCAGTGCAAATTCCTTGTTGAGAATCATCTGCTCAACTAAAGACGACTCATTGTGGAAGAGGTGGGGCTGCATGTGGCTCCACATGTGAGGAAACCACCAGAACTCATCCACAGACCGAAGCAAAAGGTCATCTCCTTCATCTTCCTCTTCGGTCCCTGTAAAGCATATAAAAATGGCATAAGTCAAAGTCTTGTATTAGCTGAAAGGCTACGTTTGTCAGATTTTTATTATTCTTCTTGCTACTGATGCATAAATCCAATTTTGTGTTGTTTTAATACAAGAAAAATGACCACAGCCTAAATGACATCAGGGGCAATGGGGCTGGGGGTTGGGATGGGGTGGGGCAAGTGCGGTGGTCCCAGGTGCAGATGGTTGTTTAATTTAGAACTAGGGCTATTTTATCACTGACATTGTTTATAATTGCTAGCATATGGTGGTAATAAAAAAAAAAACAGGCTGAGTTTTAGTTTATTTTTGTTTTAAATTTATCAACTGGTAATTCTCTCCTTTATTGCATATACAGGAGAAACCTGAAGAGAGATGAATATTCTTTTTACTGAAAAATATTTCTGCATATGAATCTAATACTGAGCTGAAAAATTTTTAATGTAACTGATGACGTTTGTTTCTGTTTTTCTGATTATACAAATATGTGATGTGAGCTTATTGAAGAAACATAGAAAGCACAGACAAGTGATACATACAACTCAAAAACAAAAACTAAACAAAAACCCCCAAACTATCTTCCAGAACTAGCCAGTGGAAACATTTTGGTATCTTTCATTAAATCTTTTTCTACTTATTTTTTTAAAAGTCGAGGTCTTATTGTATAAATACGTTTGTGTCCTTACATTTTCAACTTACCATTATAAACATAAACATAAACATTTCCCATTTTGATACAGACATTTCATCAGATGTAAACAATAAATCTATGAACACAATAGAAGCGGCTTGAGAATTTAAAACTAAAATATTATTTTCTCATCCTCTATTAGGAAAATTTGTTAACAATGCCCAATGCGTGGGAAAAAAGCCATATGTCATGCCACAAGTGGGAAAAAAAGAAAGAAAAACAACATCAGCAACTTACTTCTAAGGGAATTCACTGTAACTATCCAAGAACACCATCACTGTATGACTCATACAGATTTTCTACAATTTTACAATATTCAGTCCGATTTAAAACTATTCTAAATTGATAGTATAAGAATTGAGTCCTATGTGGGCTCTAGATTCTTAACTAAGTAAGTACAGTGTGAGGTATATTTATTTGGAATATTTTTTCAAATTAGAATATGTTTTATAGATAATTTTATATTCTTTAGTTAAGTTGAACAAATAAATATTAAAGATCTTTCTTTTTTAAAGAGTCTTCCTCAAATATTCCGTTTGTGTGTGTGTCCTATGGTACATACTGCATGGATCATGTAGTAGTGCCATGAAATGGTTAACACCTGCATTTGTAAGGCACATATGTGATCTTGTACATTTAACTTCTGAGTCTTGGTTACCTGGTTTAAAATGCGGATATAAATGTCCATCTCATAGGCTCTTGTGAAGAGTCAATGAGATCAATTTATTAAGCCACTTAACATTGTGACTTGCAGATAGTATGCACTTCATAAATGTTAGGATCATTTTCTTCTTAAAAATAAATCTACTGGCTTATACCTGCGGTGTTCTAAATTTACATACTTTTACACATTCTTAAAAACATTGCTGGCCTAGATGATTAAATTCTTAAAGTCTGGATCCCTTTAACTTACATTGTCTCATGCCACTTTCCCAGGAGAGTAAATAAGGGAATAATTTAGTTCTGTCTGTGTTAATATATAGTCAGTGAACTTTAGAGCCTTCATATGTCTGCTTAAGTGTGTGTCAACTTTTGTGTGTATTTAAGCGTAGCATCCTTCCTGGTACGTAGTTCACAATCCATAGTTATCAAAAGGTGGAAGGACCACCAAGTTTAATTAGCGTTTTGGCACTATTACTACTGTAACAGTTGCTACTAAAGGATAAAGAAATATTAGTTTTGAAAGTGATAAAGTCCTATGAATAAGATGAACAGACAAAAATTCTTAATTTTTGTTAACTTGAGCCAAAATTGTTAGCAATATAGACTTACAATTCATTAAGCTTTAATATATTAAGAATTTCAAATACTGAAATCCAAATGAAAGGAAGTTTGGCACTTCCTTCAGATAGATTTAAGTATGAATTGTTTATACTATAGACCAAGTGTTTCTCGTGGTCATAATTTAGCAGACTAAGGCGTAAGTTAGAAAGAGCTACTTTATGTCACATGTGATGAATGAATTGATGGTTCTCCCACAGTTCTGTTGTGCTTTGAATATAGAATGTGTGAGGAACGCTTCCATTCACTTTGAACTCTACAGATTGTTATTGGAAGAGGCAGGAAGCACATTATGCATACTTGACCAGGAAGGAGGTCAATTACTCAATTTAAAGAAAAATTTTTGCAGACTATTCATATAAACAGATGCATGACTGATCATAAAATCTTGGTAATTTTTATACCAGAGAGTGTGTTAATTTATAAGCACTCCCTACAAGGTTAGAAGTGATATTTAAAACCTCTTTTTTTTTTTTGACTCCATAGATTAATTTCCCATCAGCCTTTTTCTCATTTTATACAGGTCATATAATTCAAAGCCACATAAGGCCAGCTCATGACACTAGAAATTGCTTAATGAAAAATATGACATTAAGTCATGCTGAGAGACCAAAGCAGAATTTCAAATGTTTTCAAATCCAACTAAATGAAAATATGAAAGTTTTGACTCACTGTAAACATGTATTTTTCTATACCTAATTGATGTTTAAATGACATGTGAGAATATAATTTGTAGTTCATACTTCACTATATTTACCACTAGTGCCTGTTCATTAAAGGGTCTATGTTAAAACTGAGCCTTTCACTTCTAACTTGGTCTAGATTCAAACCTACATCATTATTAATTAAAAATATGATAGTTTTTGCTCTCATTTAAAAGTTAAGTCATTTTTCTTTTTTAAATTGAAGTATAGTCAGTTTATAATGTTCTGTCAATTTCTGGTGTATAGGACAATGCTTCAGTCATACATGAATATACTTATATTCGTTTTCATATTCTATCATTTTACTTTCCTAATTATCAGAGGATAGCAGTGTTTTAATTCAGAAATAAACTATAGAAGAACTCATTTTTTTGTCTCCCCTCTTGGAGAATATGCGCTATGAGAAGATAGTGTACTTCTAAAAGTTTTAAGTCTGCCAAAATAAGAATAATTCTAGCAGGATCTGAGCTATAGGTTAGTTTCCACTAGGCACGGTGTGACATTAAAATTAGAAACATAAAATTCCAGTGCTGCATTATTGCTTTTGTACAAATGTTTGTCTTATATTTGCTACTATATATGAAAAATTATAATCCCTAAATGGCAAAAAGACATTTCTAACTTTCTTTGTACACTGAACCTGGCACAGGTTCATATTGGTGAGTATAGAATAATTTTAAACAGCATACTAAATAAAAAGAATTGTTTGGTAATGAAAATTGATTAAAAGTTATCTATAGTTCAAAAATTGAGAAACAGAGTCATGTGAATTGTCCACTATTTTTGATAGTACTTGATTTTTATACAAAAATACTTTTAAAACTCATAATAATAAACACATAGCATGACATGTGTCATGTAACACATGTAAATAAGAGACATGTACATAAGAGAGATATTATTATTTTTCCCATTTTGGAGATGCAGAAATTGAGGCACAGAAAAGTAATCTGTTTATGTTCACATAGCTAGTGAAATGTCAGAGCCTGGATTTAAACAAAAGCGGGCTGTTTCCAATGTCTTTTTGAACCAATGGTATACAGAAAAGCGAAAACAAAAACAAACAAAAGAGAATGAATATAACACTGCTTTTTTCCGTTATTAAAAGTTGATAGTTTTATATAAAGGTCTATTTTCTTGTAAAATGAACTCTCATGGATAAAGAGCAATATTTATCCAATTTGCAAATATTATATATGAGGTAATTGTTTGAGTCATATTTAATTTATTATCAATTACAAGGAATGGAACTGATTGTCACTAGAAATCATGTCCTACAAGAAATATTCGCAGCCCTTCTTTCCTACAAGCATCTTAATCCTGTCATAGCTCCATTTTTCTCCTGAGCTTTCATTGTACAGTTCTAATCAAGCTTTAAATATTGCCAGACTAGAATATTTGACTCTGAACTCTATGCCTTTATTGTTTTACTTTTAATCAACAGTATGTCTTTCTCCTTTCAATGTGGCGCCTGTGAGTGACTGCCTTTTGGGGAAGGCTTAGTAATACGTCCTTTTTTGGGTGAGATTGTTTTTAGCGTGTGAAGGACAGAGAAACTGAACAGGAAAGAATACATGGGAAATACAAATAAATGAAGCGGCCTAAGAATGCAGAATCTATCGTTATTGCACTGGGCATATGTGATTAAATGTCCTCAGAATGATAAGGCTCATCAATCAGCATCTTCGTGCCCTGGGAAATTAGGTCATCCTGGGAGAGAGCTGAGACAGGCATTGTGACAAGGCCATCTTCTCATGGTCACACATCCCAATCAAGCGCACAGGTAAGGGAAGCGCTATTCTGATTTGTCAGCCTCCTGATAGTGAAACCTCCATATAGGAGTATGATTAGACAGGGAAGAGGCATGCCCTCTCGATAGTGGGTATCATCAGTGTTTAACTCCACTGTGGAAGAACCGTGATATCCTCGAGTGAATAAATAAGTACTTAATATAGTATGATTGCACCCTTGAAAAATGTTATGGACGCATTTCAATGATTCTACACATAATATAGCAAATCAAATAAAGTTTTATATTTATGTGACGGTAATTAAACGTCTAGGCCTTATATATATATATATATGTATATGTATATATACAGTTTAGTCTCTAAAATGCACTGTCAGCACAGCATAACAGAATAGAGTGCTTCTCCCATTATTTTTATTAGGTCAGTACCAACAGAAAGTGTCAGTAAGGTCCATTTAAGAGATGCAATTAAAATGTCTTTTTTTGTTGTTGTTGTTGTTGTTTGATATCCTCCTCCAACAACCATCCCTGTGATATTAGCTAGTGTGCTGTTCATTTCTGAGTGGATGTGTGGTATGAACATGTTCAGGAAAAAGAAATGGGAAGTGTTATAACCTGCTATCAATATTAACTCTGCAAATGTCTGGCAGGTTTAATAGGTCTCAATATGAAAAGCAAATAAAAGCTGAGGCAGTTATCCAGATATATTTCAGCCAAAAAAATGACTTTACTTACCCTATACGGCTATTTAAGACAAAATAGTATTGTTTGTGTGTGAATTCCAAATAATCCCACATTTTTCCCCCAGCATGAGGAGATACAGCCTTAGAGTTATCTACTTTATAACTTCATAGTCAATGCTTCTTAGGTCTGAACTCATTTCTTGAGGGGGCTTTTGAAAAAGATTTACAAAACCATGTCTATTTTCAAAATCGTAAGCTGGAATTGCTTTGCCTGTGCAGATATGCTGACCCAAATCTTTTTCTGCAAAATGTCCTTTTAAAATATGCAACGATTTGATTTATCAACTGGTCTAAATACAAATTTTCCTTCTATTACTTTAAACAGTTTCACATGTTTCAAAGCAGGAGAAAAAAAGCATAAAAGAAAAGCCAGTAAGACATTGCTGCTTCAATATTCTAAGAAACCATGCTGAGCCTATTTGGGTAAACATTAAAAAGCCTCTTTGGGTAAACGAACTGCATTTATGATAATTAAAGACTACCTTTGCATGGGAATTTTTAATGAGTCAATAAACTGCATGCACGCATAGAGAATACTAGGAAATGTTTTCACTAAGATA